TGAAACAGGGAACACCATAGATTTACATACGAAAATGGAGGGTCTGAATTTGCAAACAACAAAGCCCCTAGATGGACTCTTCTAAAACATATTCTGAGCTGACTGAATATTCAATGTCCTGTAAGCTCTTTAAGACAGGAAAGCTTGCAATTGGAGAAAAAAATTATATTTTTCTATTCTATATTTTTAATGTTTATCTTTCTTTTAATATATTTAAATAGGTAACAATGTGAAGTACCAGCAGCTCCTTGCACTAGATCTTCCTTTTGAACTATCAACAGAATTAGGCAATTCTGGTTTTATATTCACTTTTTACTTTCTAGCTTCAGTTTTAATTTTATTGCATCTAGGACTTAATGCTCCAGTATTAACTGAACTGAATGGTCCTGTATTGCAACATAAACAGTCAGCACTAGGGGTCAAATTTCTCAGCTTTACCATCACATTCAGGATAGCTGAGTGCTAATTTTCCAACATTTTCTATCCAAATATGAATGATTTTGAGGTCAAACCTCAAGAAATGACACTGAGCATTTACCAAAATAAATGAATTCTCTGCTGGTTCCAGCCAAAGGTCCACACAGCACAACACACAGTGTCTGGCAGTTGTGTGCCAAAACACGACACACGTAAATGCCATGTTCCTTTTCTGCATGATGACAACAATACAACAATTCAACAGCATCTAGAGGATGACAATATCTGTATGTGGATTGTGCACAATGTACTTTGTTAGGACCTGATACTGCAAGGACTTCTCTGATGACCTGTGAGTAGCACTGAAAATAACGAAAAAGCTGAGAATCTGGAATCAGTTATGTGCCCCAAGATAGGAAGAATCACTGTCATTAGTTTTAAAATAAATTAAAGAAATAGATTTGGGAGCTCTTAAAGAATGTAATAAAAATGTGTTCTTTAGGTATTTTGAACTTGGGATTCCAAAAGAATTTTCCACCCAAGCTGATTTGCACTGGCACAGGTTGGTAAGGGAGGTAATGGAGTCTCCATCCCTGGAAATAGTCTAAAGGCATCTGGACATGGTGTAGGTGGCCTTGCCTGAGCAGTGGGGTTGGACCAGATTATCTCCAGAGGCCCCTTCTACTTCAGCACTTTTGCAGTTCTGTGATACCTGAGCTCCAAAATCAGATAGTCTCAACCTGGCAGGGAACCCTTGCAGGCAGTGAAGTGTGGTGTCAAACCCCAAGCTTACACATTACCCAGCTATGACATTTAGCAGCACCATAACTTTTCATGCAGTGAGATAAAGACCTGATTCTGCCCTGTCCTGAGTGTATCTGGTGAGTCCTGAGTATAGTCAGTGTTCATTACCAATCAGTAAAAAATGTTCTTGATCGTACCCCTCTGAAGTCAGCTTGTCTTTGCAAGGAGTGGATCAGGCCTTTACAAAATGAGGCTGCAACTCCGTTAAGATCAGATACAGATTTTCCTTTAATATAGCCCTCATTAAATCCCAATAGGGGAGTCAGACATCTGAGGAAGTTTATGCTGCAGGAGTCAGTCCAGAATCCGAGAAAGGAAGATGATGAAGAGAATTCATAAGAATGAGATGGGAAAAAGCAGGAGAGAGTGCACAGGAGTACAGAATTAGGAGGAAAAACATGGGCAATAAATAGAAGAAATCCAGAGATGTGAGCAAATGCTGTTGTTTGGTCTCTTTAAAAAAAAAAAAAAAGGAAGAGAAATCTTCTTGGGAACTTCCCCCTACATCATTAGCATGCAGAAGAAATTCTATTCTGTGCAAAATCTCTGTAGAATTGTAAAACTGCTTAGAGAAGATGCAAGTGTATAGCAAGTGTTTTTGAGAGGAAGGAAGGAAGGAAGGAAGGAAGGAAGGAAGGAAGGAAGGAAGGAAGGAAAAGAAAGAAAGAAAGAAAGAAAGAAAGAAAGAAAGAAAGAAAGAAAGAAAGAAAGAAAGAAAGAAAGAAAGAAAGAAAGAAAGAAAGAGAAAGAGATTCAGGCTGACTCCAGCATACAAGAGCATGTCCAGTAACACACAGAAACGCAGACACCTCAAGCCTTGTTGTCAGTGTTTCCCTCAGCCCAGTGTCTCTAAGGCATGGCTGAATTTGCAGGGCTGGCTGTAGAAAGGCTATATGGAAAATGCAATCCTGTCTTCAGTGTTTGAGTAGGAGTCAAGCAGAGCACCCCAAGAGAGGGTGAAGCATTTTCCCAATCCAATGACATTATTTGGGGAGAAAAAGTGTGCCTCAGTTTTGGTTTCAGAAAAGCAAGAAGGAGTAACCTTAGCAGGCTGCCTTAAAATTTGCTCCCTTCAGAAGAAAACCCCAACAGCAATAGCCTCTCACTTTTATTTATAGACAGCAAGCGATCTTGTTCTCACACACACTGATTGAAATATGCAGCACTTTCTCCTACCAGCACTGGGTGCTGAACACAGCGAGCCTTTCCATCAGGACACAGGCCAGCTTTCTCCCAGAGTTTGGCTTATGTGAGAAATACACAGGGATGGTCAAACATGAAATTTGAGACTTTTTTCTGCCTCCCACAACAATAAAGTGTGGCAGAACACATTTAGTAAAGCCACTGATATGTGTCAGGGCAGAAGACGCTGTTTTCCACTCCTCTGCACTCAGACTGAGTCCCCTGAAAAATCACCCCATTGACCAAATGTTTTTAAGATAACAAAATAAATAGAATCAACCCTGAATGTTTTTCTTGTTCATCCTTTGCTTTATGATCCATGAGACTACCCTTAATTTCCCTATTCCAACCATGAGAGCTACAAAAATAGAAAAATAGAAATGAAAACTGAGCTCATTAGACAAGACTACCCCCACCAAAGTCAAGTTGGCCCTGTGTGGGTTTTGGAGCCCACCCAGGCAGAGCAGCTTGCAAGGCCCGTGCCTAAGATCACAATGTACTCTGCAATTACAGCACAATGCTGACAATAGCATTTTGTCAGTAAAATAAGAAATAGTTGTGAAGACATGTGAGGAATATGTAGGGGGGGGATGACCAAATAAAAGAAGCAATTTTGTTCACTATACTTTTGAGCAGTAGCGCAGGCTGACAGAATGGTTATAGGATGGCACAGTATTTCCATCCACAGATGTCACAGGGACACTGCTGCACGTGATTTAAGATTAATCTCTTGAATCAAAATGTCACCATGTACACTAATGAGCAAAAACTCTCTGGCAGAGAATCCGTCCCTTGGGCTCCTGTTCCCAGGTAAGAAGCTTGTCTCCATACTATTGTAGAAACTCTCTCAGCTGAGTGCACTGAGGTTGGTGGTATAACTTGCCCCTGGTTCACAATTTTCCATTTCAGACTCACTGTCTCTGTCTTGGTTTCGGTCTATTTACTCGGAGCCATTTCTTAACAATGTCTAATTTCCTCAAGGAATCCCTCTGAGTCCCCTCTCTTAGAAATGCTGCCATATCTTTTTTTTTAATCACTGAAAGGCACAAATATCCTTCCTGAGCCCTCTTACCATCCAGCCTGATTATACACATAGATTTCAGTTTCCATACATTTTCTACACAGCAGGAGTTCCCAAAATGCAGCCTCTGGGGATATAAAGTGTGGCCCCAACTGCAGCTCAATGAGATGAAAACAAAGCCGATCAGGTACTGTTCTTACTGTTAATGAGCCTAACCAGCAGGCAGTTATTACTTAGTCTGGAAGACATAAGTGGTTGAAATCACAGCACATTCATTTTTTATTTATTGTGATGCACATTCAAATTAGAAGTAGCCCTCCAGCAGCTGGCATTTTGCCAGGGCCTGACCATCAGTGTGATAAAATTTGACTATCTCAAAGATATAGAATGCCTTTTGTTGCCTTTTTTTTTTTTTAATATCAATCTCCTCTTCTCCTACTCACAATTCCCTTGACTATTAAAAAGTGAACAATGAGGCTTAATTAATTTAGGAACCTTGTCCCTTACTGAAATGAAAGAAAAGAGTATTTTTTCTTTTTTACTTAATGGTGAGGTACAAGTCAAACTTGATCTGACCTTGTAAATAAGTAGACACAAGCCTTCTGGCAAATAAAAGAGTTGGACATGAACCACAAAGAAATGGGTTTTTGGAGACAATGAACATTATTAGCCTGTTAATCTATTAATGGCAACTGTAAATACCTCACTCCAAATCATAGCCACTCCAAAACATTTAACTGGAGAGGCTCTGTGAGCTTGCCCAGGTCAACGTGATACGAGGAAAACGTAGTAATTCGCCTCACCTTGCTAGCCATCGGTTTGCAATCTAACCCCTCCCCTGAGTTTAAGTTACAAACCTCAGTAACTGTGTGGCAGACTTGACAGCAATTAACATTACTCAGCTGCCAGCTGGGTTTTAAAACCTCCCTTCCAAGCGATCTTGTTACGTAGGTTTTAAAAACAGCCTGACAGGGTGCTGCTGTGCGCCAAGGCCAAGGAGCGGGGCCTTGCCTCTCTTAACGTGGTGGGATTTTGCCACTGATTACAGGGGGAGCTGATAAATCATTGGCACAGTAAAGGCAAATGCACCGAGCTGTTGTTTGCAGCATGAGGCTTGGGGGTTTTATTCTAATCTCATCGAGGGGCCCTCACAGAAAGCGATATAAAGAAATTATCCTTATTGGTTTAATTCTTTTGTCCTGTGCAGTCCTGTAGTTGTACTCATCTACAGGAAAGAGCACAACACACTGCGAAGAACTCCTGGACCCTCACACCTCAGCATTCAGACTTTACAAGTCAGGAAGAACTTTCTAAGCAATTTAAAGCTGAAAAATCAAAGTTTTGTTGGAAATCAACTACCTGGAGTCGCACTCCCATCAGATTTAAAGCTAGCGCACGCGGCTGCGGCTCAGCTCCGAGCGGCGGGAGCATTCCGAGCGCGGCCGCAGCCGCGGTGCCAGCAGCGCGTCCCGCTGAGGGCGGAAAGGCGCCGAGCCCTCGCTGCTCCCACCTGGACCGGCCCGGAGCGGGCCCGCCCCGCCCCCGCCTCTCGGCGCGCCCGCCGGCGCCGGCCGCAGTTTGGCGGTGCGGAGGCTGCAGCGGCTGCGGCGGCGGCTCCTCCCGGGACGCCCCGTCCCCGAGGGACGCCCGTCCCGCTTCTCGGTGAGTGCCCGGGAAGCGCCTTCGCCACTGGGGGCCGGCCTCTCTGTGCCAGGTTGCTGTTGAGGGCGGTGCCGAGGCCGGGCGCGATCGTGACAGGGAAGGGGGTTCGCCGCGGGGCAGCCCCGGCCCGGCCGGTCCTGCCCGGAGTCCCGCTCCTGCTGCGAAGCGGGAAGAAAGAGGGAGGGTGCGGGCGAGGAATGAGCTCGGTGGGCGCTGAGAAAGCAGGTGATTCGCTGATGTAGGCGATGGCTGATTCCACAGCCAGCGTGCCCCTCCCGGGGCGCCCCTCCGAGCTTGGGAGTCTCGTCCCACGGCGCTGCCCGGAGAAGTCGCGTTAAACCTCTTGGCCGGGGGCACATCTGCGGGGCTAGAGTCCGGGCGGGGAAGAGTTAAAGGCGGCCAGCGGTGGCGAAGCGAGGCCGGCCAGCTTTGTTTTGGGACGCTGGCACGCACGTGTGCGCTGAGCCCTCCCTCCGCTCCCGGCCCGCCGCCTGTCAGCGCGGGCGTGCGGCTGCCCCCGCCCGCCGCTGTCGCCGCTGGCTTGTGCAAGGAAGTGCCGTGGGTAGGACGCGGCACCGGAGACGCGGGGGCTGCCCGGGCAAAGACCCTTCGCCCGAGCCGTCCGGTGTCTGTGGCTCCCAGCGTGAGCTGCGTTTGGAGGTTGTAGAAGGATTTCCAGTGAGTTGTAGGACGAACTGCCCTTCGCGCTGCCTCGGCATTCTGTGAAAAGCTCTGCAAAAGGGTCGGACCGTATTGCAGGAGGTCGACTTAAACTTCTTGCTCTTTAAACTCTCTTTTGTTTGGGGTTTGCTCTATGCCTTTGCTGCACTTTCCTTGAGGACTGCCCGTGTCCCAGTGAAGCTGACAGATGAGATCTGGCAAACTTTCCTGCAAAGACATAATACATTCCCACCTGCCTCTCTGTCAGGTGACTGATCCAGCAGAAGAGCTGGCAAGGAAATCATCCATGCCTGCCTCTTGGGGCTCATAACTCCTTTCAGTGTGCTACTTTAAGCCATGGATGAGAATGTTGTGAGTGCTCTGCCACTGTTGTCATCCAGCAGAGCTGCATCCAGCTGTGGAGCTGGTACCTGTTCTGCTCTGCAGAAGCTTCTTTGGGAGTTGTGACTCAGTTGAGTGAACTGCTGAGATGCAGCAACTGAAATAGACATAGTGCCCCCAAGCCAGAGCCCTGCAGAAACAGTTCTTGCACTGCTTGGTCCTGTTGTCTCTAGTGTGCTGGTGTCCAGAGTACTGCCCACCTGGGGGGAGATGGGAGCACCAAGGGCAGTGCTGAACACATCCTTATAAAATTATTATTAATGTCTCCTTCAGGCCTGAAATTCCTCTTGCTAGTCTTCCATTCTGTTAAATGCTTCGCAAACCAGAGCAAAGGAAGAGACATGAAGAGTTGAATTTCACTGCCTTGTTTGGAACTGGGTGGAAATCCTGGAGATGGATCTCTTAGGAGTCTGTCTTCCAATTGGGTTAGATGCACAGGTAACAGTAAAGGGACTTGTGGCATTTCTGGTAATACTGCTTCTAATTGCTTTATATTTGCAAAGAGCTCTGAAATAGTGATTTAGGGTTCATGGGGGTTTTTTCCCTCTACCATCTTTATTCAGCTTTGTGCTGTGACCGTGCTCAGGAGTGTTTACTGTGGCAACTACAGAAATCCTGCTTTAAACACTGACACCAGCCATGTTTTTCTTCAGTGGTAGGATGAACCACTGCACTAACAGCGCATGTAGGTTTGAGGGTAAGAGGGATAAGGAAGTGACTACATTGCCAAGTTTGGGACATGTCTTAAGTTGAGCTGAGGGGAGAAATGAGAAGTTGAAAGGAAAGCTGGCCCTCATAGGGAGAAGTAATGGAGAGCTTCACTGAAGTGGCTTTGACAGCTCTTAAGTTTTGCAACCACTGGGGTTTCTTAAAAATCTGGCCTTGCAGCCTTATGATTACAAGAGCTTTTCTTCATCAATAAGAAATAGGTGGGAAAAAGTTAATGGGATATACCATAAAGTTCAAGTATGGCAGGCCAAAACAAAGCAGACCCCAAAGAAGCTGACTGGCCATGGGCCTATTAGAAGAATTTGGGTTGCTTTTTAAAACGTCTTTTCTGTTTCTGTGTGCTGAGGTTGGGGGTTGGCTCTCTACTTGTGAGCCAACAAGCAGAATGTGGAATTGAAGCTGTGGACTTATACACGTGTGAACTTTGTCTCTCTCTGGCCCAGCACCTGAGGACTTTCTGCAAAGCCTTCACCTTCACCACAGGTCACTCACCTCTCCTGTCCATGCAGATGGGCAGCACTGGGAAGTGGGGAAGAGGGAAGGCGTGGTAAAATCGGTTGTGTTTTATTGTTGGAGCAGAATATTCTCTCCTGGACAACATTCTTGTTGTGTCTTAGCTGTTTCCTCAAATGTTCCTTTATTGCAGGAGCAATGGATCGCCCCAGCTACCTGGAAGAGGACTATTCTAGCCTGGATGGGCTGGACGATGACGTGTTTCACTCTGATGACTTTGGACTTGCAGGTCAGCCTGGTGAGATGACTGCAACTGGCTTTTTCACACAGAACCAGTCCTACAGCTGCCTTCTGGGGAGGTTTCAACTATTCCCCCTCACACACTGCTGTGGTCCCGGTATCAGGCATCCTGAGCAGCAGGACAAGGCAACTCAAACACTCAGCCCATCCTCTTCCAGTCAGGATGTTATGTTGCCTTGTGGAGTCACTGAAGAGCCACGGAGACTCTTCTATGGTAAGAGCACTCCAGTGTCACTAGCTTTGCAGCAAAGAAACTGTCCCTTTAGCACTTCCCCAGTTAGCAAGGTCTCTTTCATTAGGGCATTTTATTAAAGGACTGAAATTATTGTGCTTTAGTCCTACTCCCTCAAGAAAGACAACTTGTATTTTCTTACCCTTGCTTGTCCACTGCAGGAACTAGACACTTGCTCATTGCTTCTGCTGTCTTTGATATTCCCTCTCTCTCTCTTTGGCTGTATTCTGTCACATTTGATCTTACTGCGATGTCTAAACGTTCACTGTACTTCATATCCTACAATTTGCCTACATTTTTAACTACCAGTGGTCTGTCTCATCCACATAAGAAGTGGAAACTCCTAGAAGTTTTCAGTGGAGAGAAGAAGATGCAAAAAAGTTACAGCTTTTAGGCTCTTCACTGGAGTTAAAGTTGCTGAATAAGTAGCATGTCCATCCAGTATTTTACTAGTAACTGATGGGTCACCACTCAGCTTTGTGTATCCAATTCAGCTTTAATTCAAATCACTAAAATCACTAAATGACAGAAAACTAAGAAAAGACTGACACAAAAGATACTTCTACCCTTGAGGAGAGACAGCTTGAGGCAGAAATCCTGTAAAACTGCAAAACTGTCCTTAAAAAAAAATCCCAAGCCACAGCATTTGGCTGAGCTGTAAGCAAGCAAAAGGAAATCAATTTTAAGATCCTGCCACTCATTTGACTATGGGAATCAACACAATGCTCTGTTTAATGAACATAAGTTTATTTGAAAGCTGGGTAAATCTTTTACTGCACTGTGTTACAGTATATAGTCATTGTTTGGCCTTCAGGAACTAGACTTTAAAAGTCAAAAATGTAGGACTATGTACAGCTCTTTCCTCCATGAAGTGTACAGAGCAGAAAAGATAATCTTTGCACTGGGAGAATGACTCTTCTGCTCTGTTTTGTAGGGAGTGCTGGTTACCGTTTACATGTCCCTCCAGCTGGCTTTGTGTTGGATCCGCACCTCCAGGAGGAAGCTCGGGAAGGTCAGCGGGAAGCACGTGCTGAGGTGCAGATTGCACGGAAGTTGCAGTGCATCGCCGACCAGTTCCACCGGCTCCACATACAGAGGGTAGGCTGTCTCTGGAGGGGAAAGTGGGGGTTTACCTGTCCAAGAGTGCTATTATGAAGACTGGCTCCAGCCATCAGCTAAGTGAACTGTTGCTTAAGACAGCACACACTGCCAAGTGATAAAATGGCAGGAGTATCCTGATGGATTTTGCTGATGCTAGATTGCTTGCTCTTCCTAAAGACTGGCAGGTGGAGGGAAGAGAATATGAGGGAATATGAATATGAGCATTTACTGCCCAGGAAGGGAGCTCTTCTGTGTTAGCTGCTGCTATTCCAGCTCTTCCTGTTCATCAGCAGTGGGATTTGAGGCTTTTCCCAGAGATCTTCCTCTTGGTTTTTATTACAGCTTTTACTCTTCTCCATTCTCCTCACCACCAGCACCTTCTCTTCTCTGGAACATGTAGCCATCAGTAGCTTATGTCAGCTCCTTGTCTTGGAGATAACAAGCCTGGGTCTGTTCTGACACTCCTTGTTGTCTAACGGTAGTTCTATGTAATGTTGTAAAGAATATTTAGATCATACTAGACTTGCTAGCAGCTACTAGTAAGACAGTCGTAGCTAGTGTCTCAGACTTGTGACTAACTTCCTCACCACAAAATACACCTGTAAGATGCTATCAGGTCTCAAAAACACACTCCAGATTCTTGGTTTCTTAAAAAAAAAAACAAACAAAAAAACAAAAAAAAACCAAAAAACCAAACCAAAACAAAAAGGAAAAAAAAAAAAAAAAGAAAAAAAAAGAAAAAAAAACCCAAACCAAAACCCAAACACTGCTGTTCAAAGAAACAAAATAACCATTACCCCCAGAACCCTTGATTCTTTCTTCCTTGCTCTCCTTCCCCTTTTAAGTAGAGATAAAATGGAAATCTCAGCCCATACAGAGATGGTCAGAGGTTGCAGAAGCTTGGTAGTAGGCAGCAGTTTACCACTTCTATGCAAGCCCAACAAGGAGGGTGTGCATCTGCTTGTACATGAAGAAATTTTGCTGACTTCAGAAAGGGACAGAAAGTTTATCCTACTCCAAGTGAGTTTGTCCTCTGTTAACTGTGGGATGGTTTGCAGCCCTTCTCGAAGGTAAGTGAGGGTCTCTGCCCGGGTCAGAGAGTGTGGCTTGTGGCTGGGCAAAGGCTTGGTCCTCTCTCTGTCACCTGAGAGATGAGGAAATTCTGGGACTCCGCATCTCCTAATAGGTGGATGATTAAAGAAGGAAAAGGAAGATTAGCCTGTAGAAATGTAAATGGGGCTATGAATGTCATTTAGCAAACTGCAGGAATAAAGAGCTACCACGAGATTTTTAACGTGTTGTTTGTGGTTGAATGGGGTTTTCCCCGGTGGCGCCTTTTCGCCAGCAGTTAGCTGCAGGCCCCGCTCTCTCGCCAGGCTGTCTCACAGGAAAGGGGAGGTTTAACCAAGTTGGCAGAGAGGAGTTTTGCACTGAACTGGTGGTACTGGTTGTAACTTGACCCCTTTCATTAGGGGGGAGTGTCCCTATCTGATGCCCGTGCCTTGGAAACGCGTCCGGGAGCGCCCGCCCGCCCCGGCCCCACTAGGGCAGGCGGGGTCGAGCTCCCGGTGCCCGGCCGCGGCTCCCGGTGCCGGCCCGGCCGCGCAGCCCCGGCCGGCGGCCAGCCCGGCGTGTGGAGCCGTAGTAAACAAAGGCGTCCGGCTGTGCTGGGCGGCGCGGCCCGGCCCGGCCCCCGGGGCCCGCCAGAGGAGGGGCTCCGCGCTCTTTGTTTGAACTGGAACAGCAACAAGTTGTAAAGGGGACGGGAGCGGGGGCCTTCAGCCATTTAAATTGGAAAACAAAACGGGGAAAAAAAATACCAAAACCAAACCAACTCGAAAACTCAAACCGAGGACAGAGTAGTTCAGCCAGTGGTTATCCACAGCCTGACCCTGGGATAGGCCTTGGCATTTGGATCTGCTAAGGGATTCTTTCTTGTTTGTCAGGGAAACTGAGTATTGGTGTCCAAAGCACTGATCCCCGTGGAGTGTTTTGTTGTCATGCCCACTCCCTTGCCTCCCAGTCCTGCATGGAGGATTTCCTTTGGCTTTTGGCATGAATCCCCCGTGGAGACACCCCTCTGTCCTCTGTGCAAAGACTGCCCAGCCCGTGGCTGAAGGAGCAGGCGGTGTGCCCTGGAGACACGTGAGCAGTTCACAATGTGCTGTGGTTTGGAAGGGACAGTCTCTGAGGCATGGAAAACTGGGCTGTCGTTTATCTTGCTGTGAAACTAACCCCTGATTTGAAAACCCCATTTCAGCTTGTCTCAAACATTTGGTCAAAACCAACTTTCCAGAGTGGTGTCTTGAATCAGATTTAGAATACCACAAAGTTAGTCACACCAGTGTGGTCTTGTGAAGTCCTGAGAGAGAGCAAGCTTGGTTTTCAACAAGTTGTGCCTGTTTCCAGAACCTAAAAAACATTTATCTGTGAACCTGTGAAAAGAAAATGTGTGTGCCCTTTCAGTGGAAGTTAGGAAAGGCTTTTTAGCACTGGAATGGTGCATCCAGCTAGTTCAAGAGCTGCCTTCTCATGGCTCTTGACTTCTGTGAGACTCTCCAGCAGTTCAGGTATTGCCCTCATTCTGCTGCTGCAGCAGCAAGGCTGTGTTGACACAAAGGCTGCTGGTTAATGTACATCCCTGGCTGAGAGAGAAACTGAGCAAGCAATTGCTGCTGAGGCTGACATCACTGAGTTGTCATTGGACTCCGCTGCATGCATGGTCTAACCCCATCCTACACTTGGAGCCCTGGAAAGTCACTGTTATCTCTTCTCTAGGCTTCTGGAGCTAAATGGTATTTATTCTGTGGTTCTTGGCTATACAGAAGATTTTTGGGTATGCATCTAGGAAGAATAAGAAAATTGGCCGCACCTATGCTTGCTTTTGGCATGAAAATCACTTTCAGAGTTTCATTTCCTATTAATATGTTAAACAGAAAACAGTAATTTAAAACCTGGCTATTTCATCCTTAGAACAGTGCTAGAGCAATAACACAACATTCTCTAGAACTCCATGTCTTTCATCTCCTTAAGATGCTGAATTTCTTGTAAGAAGACTTAAGCAACGCTCTGTGTTCCTAAATAGCAGAGCCTGCTACAGGTTGATCTAGATTGCAAGGGCTCTGCAGAATGACATTTGAGACCCATCTATGTTTTCTTGAGTTCTTTACTGTCTCTTACTTGAATGAGGCTGTGTAGCTTCTAGCAAACTTCCCTGTTTTATTTTTTTTCACCCTGCCCATGGAGAACAAAGGTAGAGGCAAACCATGCTTTCTGCAAGAGAAGCCAGTACCTGCCACCTCCTCCTTGGTTTGAAGTAAGTGTGTCTTTGCTATGGAATTGGTGAGCTGCTGCTGTAGCTCAGCCTGTGGCTGAACTTCAAGAGTGTGCTCTGAGGTTATGGAGAACGGAGCTGAGCTTATGGGACCTGTGGCTTGATTGGCTGGGATGTGCTTCCCACACTCCACATGTCCAGGCTGTGGCAACAAGTGCTTGGGCTCTGCTTCAGGTCCTGAGTGCGCTTGGGTTTCCATGCCTGTGCAGAATGGAGAGTGTATTTCATGAGGGGTTGTTAGATGGGATGCGAGTACACAACCAGGAATGGCAGCGGCAGCAAAGCCACCCCAGAGGAGCAGGGGGTTATCCAGGGGTGGGGTGGATGACACTGTGTATCAGGATCACACCCCTTCAGTTTGACGGGCTCCAATGAGGCACTGGAACTCTATAGCTTTTTCCAAATAAAATTACTCTTTTTAAGCAGGCTGCAGCTTTGAGGGGACTGCTTTTATCGTATTTCTTCTTCATGGAGATAAGATCACTTCACAGGGGATGAAATTGTCTCTTTAAGAGCCAAGGAGTGGTAGCCTTGAACAGTTCTGGGCTCAGGTCCAAGCAGAGCCACTGACTTGCTGTATGACCTCAGACAAGTCTCTTGACCTCCTTGTGCTTCAGTCAACCCATCTGGAAAGCTCAGTTTAAAAAAAGCTGAGCCTCAATGAGAACCAGATGCTGAATCAGAACTGAGCTTTCTTGAGTAAATAAGTGCATTACAAACAACAACAAAGTCCCTTTCCAACACATCAGGAATCCTGCAGTTGATTTAGATATGCTGACCATGCTCAAAAATTCTCAGTGGATCTAGCTATAGAAAACTTTGTTTCTCTAAATTCCCCAGCTAGTTCAGCAAGTAAGTCTTACCATCACTGCAACAGCGTTCAGCAGCCCATGGAACACAAATCCCTGCATCCACACTGGCTGTGGGCAGACAGCTAGGCATGTACCTGTTTGCCTCAAGCTAATGACACTGAAAATGTCCAGAAGGAAATGTTCTTTTCCTTTGAAAGTGAAACGTGTTATGTTTTGCATACTTCTTCCTGTCTGTCTCTCATAAGAGTTATCAAGGCCTCCTCCGAGACACTTCTACTTATGCAACAGGGAGCCTACATCGCTTGTCGGAAACTTATTGGCGTGAGAGAATGGGTACATGGTACTACATGAGCATCATTTGTCACAAACTCCAACAGGCTTTTTTCACTATTAAGGACATTCGGGGCACTTTTAGCAGTTGCTTTTTTTACACTGGCATTGTTTGCAGGAATCTGTTCTTTATGATGACCTTATATTTTAGGAAAAATGTTCAGGAAAGCTTCCTAATAATAATGCAGAGATTCAGACTGTCCTGCAGCTAAGCCTGTAGCACCAGCAGCTCCATACTTCACTTGTACCTACAGTCTCTTTGATACCTGGGGTACGTGCTTTCGTTCATTTGTTTCTTGAGTAGGTCAGTGCGTTTCAGGATCTTCCCTGCTGGCTGGTCCTTGCTGCTGCTGTGTACAGCAGTGGGTCACCTCTTCAGCTCTGCTTTCTGTGTGTTGCCCACTGATGCAGGATTCAAATCTCCAGCTGAGAGATTTGCACAAACATGGTGAGAGAGAGAACTCCTGAAGTGAGTGAGCCCAGTTTAAAGGGCAGGAGGTAGGGTGGGTGTGAGTTTGGGA